TGATTCAATTTTTGACGACAGGATTCAGAACTTTACCCTTTCAAACATCGGAAAAATACACGTCACAGGCCTTGCAGAATACCCGGACTTATTATCTGTACTGATAATTCTAATATTAACCGGAGTATTACTCGTCGGTATAAAGAAAACCTCCTGGTTCAACACCTTGTTCACTGGAATCAATTTATTCATCATCATATTCATCGTGTGCGTTGGTGTGTATTATGCAGAGATGAAGAACTGGACAGATGACTTTGTTCCTTATGGAGGGTCCGGGATCCTCGCGGGAGCTGCCACCTGCTTCTATGCCTTCGTTGGTTTTGATATTATCGCAACTGCGGGAGAGGAAGCAAGGAATCCTAGCAGAGGAATACCAATTTCTATCGTCTTAGCCCTGGGTAAGTTACCTCACTTTGTGAACCGAATTGTTTGTATCTTCCTAAGCAAATTAGGATCATTTTTTTTCTTTTTTGGAAAAGATAGAAGAGGTTCAGCCGCTTCGGCATATTGCTTCGTTATTGACCCTCTCGACTTGAAGACGTCATCCCCTAAGGTATTTAGTGACACTTAACAAAATTCTGTGAACCTCACCATTACCTATGGAAACTCAACGGAGTTGGCTTCGAGAAGGGGAGGGTTGGGTGGATGAATGCCCTTACGTTTTAGATTACTTTTCTTTATTTCTACAACAAAAGCCACACATGGGTCATTTATCAGGGAATTCACTTCTCATCAAAACAACGACCTCTGGTTGGAATAATCCTGACGTTGATTGACGTTGTTACAATTCGAGCAAAGTGACAGAGTCAGTAGGATCATTTTGTAATCATGATGCAAACTCGTGAGAAAAATTTCAATTAAAAAATGTTTTTTAAATTCTTCCAAATATGGCGCAATTATCCCACAAATGACGCAAAAATTGCATCGGTGAACATGTTGAATTTCATAAAACAGCTGAGAAATGTACAAAGGTTGAAAATGTACATGCAAATAACGAACGTGCAAAGCAATTGTTCCTTTAATTAATCTTTTGTTTCACCACTATGTTGCCACTGTCATGACTTTTTTTCCTCTTTTTGTCAAAGCCTCCTGAGACTGTGAAATTGACTCAACGCAAGTCACTATCACCAACAAAGGTCCTTTCAAGGCTATCCTAAATTTTAGCGTCCATCACTCTCGGCTTAAAAATTCTATCACCGGTATTATTCAAATATATTTCACTTTCTTTCTCACAGCGTTTTGTTTTCTGGCGTATTTCGGTGTGTCTGCCGTACTAACCCTAATGTGGCCCTACAAAGATCTTCCCGACGGAGGAACATTACCTAAGGTGTTCGAATTGAGAGGCGCACCCTGGGCCAAATATGTGATTGCTATCGGCGCCCTCTGTGGACTGACGTCATCTCTACTTGGGGCTCTGGTGCCAATACCTAGAATGCTGTATTCTATGGCGAGCGACGGCGTAATTTTCAAGTAAGATATGGAATTTAAGTAACAATTGACTTTGCTCTGGATATCTCAAGCCAAGGTCAAGTATTATGCTCCGTGTCTGTACATGATTTGATTTTTTTCCTCGAATCAGTTTGGCTAAACTCTTTGATTTTCGAAATATGAGTACTTCGCTGTAACGGTTGTTGATACACACATGCACGGTTGTATATACCGTAGCTTGCGTTGCTGGCGGTCTGCGGTGTTGGGGGGGTGGGGGGTGGGGGGTCTTGGGGTCTTTCATTTTTTTTCTCTCCGCCCCCAAAACCGCAGACCACTAGCAACGCAAGCTAGGTTGCATATCACTGACCTTACCATGACATCTTTTTTTATTTTTATTATCATCATCATTATAATTATCGTTATTATTATTATTATTATTATTCTCATTATTAATCGCTTACAATGCGTATGCAGCGCAACAGTTACCAACAATTACTTACCACTCACTTACTACCTAACAAGAACTACTGAAGAATTCGGTACTTACATTACAATTCCGTTTTGCTTTATCATATCAAATTTAGAATGGGTATAGAAAGCATTTCGGGACTGCTCAATTTAATTTTACTTAACTTTGATCTGTGATTGGTTCAGAAATCTCGCGCCATCCTCCCCACCAATTAGATGCATAACTAAAAACAATCGTGACTTGGTCATTCGCGTTTTCCCGCGCTTCAGGCAGTTTGCGTGTTTGCACTTTGAGTTCTCATTGGCTAATGATAATGTACACCCCTGTTCTGATTGGTCACTGGGATTACTTTGGTTTTAATTTCGACACTTAATTGAAAACTGATATAATATAGAAGCTCCTGTAATTGCAATACTAACACGACTTTCTAAATCAATATTGATTGGTTTGTTTTTAGATTTTTGGCTAAAGTGAACCCAAGGACAGAGATACCAGTGATTGCAACAATAATATCCGGGGTGTTTTCTGCATTTTTGGCTCTAATCTTTGACCTGGACTCGCTGGTAGAAATGATGTCTATCGGCACACTCTTAGCTTATTCCATAGTGTCGCTGTGTGTTTTAATCTTGAGATACCAGCCAGAAAATATTGGACTGATCAAAGAATCGAGCAAGCAAGATGGTAGCTTGGCCACACCTCCTCACGGCCCAAGCGAAAGTTCTCCGCTACTGGGTAACAGAGGAGTCCAACAACCAACGCCAAGGACTGCTCAATTAGCGCTCTATGGTATCAGTGCTAGTACCCTCGCTTCCGTGGGCCTCAGCGCTGTGACAATCTATGGCTCACACGCCTTGTTACAAGCCAAATGGTGGGCAATCATTATTATTGTATTAATGGGCCTGCTAATGGTTGGATCTACTATCCTACTCCTGTGGCTGCCCCAGAATAAGGTGTCCCTGGCATTCAAGGTCCCCTGTGTTCCTATGTTACCTCAATTGTCCGTTTTCATCAACTTGTTTCTCATTTTGAAGCTCTCTTACCTGACATGGCTCAGATTCGCTGTTTGGATGGTAATTGGTAAGTTACTGAGCAAACCAGTTTAAACGTAATAGCAGTTGGGGGAGGGGGGAGAAAGTATTTGAGCCTTTAGTGAGCGCATGCTCAACACCCCAGAGAGTATCTTTTAGCCACTGCCCTCTCAAACTACACGAAGAACATGGTCAACTTGTATTCTGAGCGATTTCAACTCAACGAACTGCATCGCAAAATACGTTTTCAATTCGATTGCAAACATTTTTTCAAATGCGTTTTAGTGGCGTTTTCAATTACATTACTTGGTGAGATTTTCAAAATGCTTCTCACACTTGCATCTGATTGGCTGAGAGAATGGCACGAGTTTCCTGGACCAATCACAGGGCCATGCAAAGCAAAACCATTGCAGTCTCAGATTACTTTTAACTCTCAGTTGAAAAGTACTCTTACAAAGTGAATGTGTTGTGTTATTATCCAAGGAATGAGCATCTATCTGTTCTATGGAATCCGCCACAGTGTGGAGGGTGAAACACGCAGAGATGGAAAAACAGATGTCGTAGCCTGACCAACCAATCACATAAAATGCACTGACGTTCATCTGAAGACAGCGTGCTTCGATGACAGATGATGAAGGAGAAAGTTCTAGATCAGAATACAGACTCCGCAAATCGTAACAAACTGAGAAAGAATCAAGTTTTCTTTTAAAAAAAACTGTCTGTTGTGTTAATCTAATTCATTTGTTCGCAGATGGTAAACTTGAAATTTTTACAGTGTAAATGTGTTTGAAATTTTTTGACTTGGTTTACTTGAGAACTATTGCTAAAATATTGGCAAATATGTTTCGATATGTTCTCTGTGTTGGATAATATCATCAGTTTTCGTGAAACGTCTCAGGTGATTTTTGGTGCATCTGAATCAGGGTGATTCATTTGTTTTTTCTTATTTCCCAAATAAATAAAAAACAGAATATTTAAGTAAGAAGGAAAGTTAAGTTTTTTCCACAACAGAACTAAAATACAATTAAAATGTTGTGACAAATCCTATTTAAAATAGCAAATCAATATCGTCACAGAATGTATTAATAGTGGTCTCCACGCTGAGTGGCTGAAAGAAATGCAGTTTTCAGGTAACACGATAAGGAAGAGGTAATGGAGGGCAGAAGAGAGTGAAATCATGGCAAAACAAGGCAGCCGACTGTTAGAATAGTTTTGCGGCTTTAAAACTTTTTTAACGAAGGCTGTTGTTATAAACGAACGAATAGTTACATTTGAATAAAATATGTTGGCGCAAAATTCGTGCGCTTTGCTTCTGCAAAATCTTAAAATGCTATCCCAAATATTTCTCATGTGCATTCATGTTAGTTCATTACTGGCGCTTTTTTATTCAAAATTGCACTCAAAATCGTGTGATTAGCTTAACTGACATCACGAAAAATAAAGTGTGATCAACAAGTGTTTCTTTGGCTCGAAGGATTCGTGATTCTTAGTTTTCTTTGAGGATATTGCTCTGTTCTTAACTCATGAAGAAAGAAAAGTAACTTCCGATATAAGAACGGAGGAGATTTCTGCTATTTTTCTGTACATAATCTCAAAACTTGTCTCGCTTTACGACACCAGAGTTTAAATTTTTTTTAACCTTCTTTAATTTTCTCCATACTGTACTCTTTAGATATCCAGTAGTAATGAAAGGAGAATTTGAGCATCGATCAAGGGTTCCTTCAGCTGGCGATCACACCTATATTCTCGTGACCACAATGTTTGATGGAAACAGTGTGGAGAAATTCAATGCCAGTCACTCTCAGGGGTAAAAGGGTCAAGACATTTCGTCTGTCTTAATGTTCCTAGCAATAGTGCAGTCTCCTCCGTGGTTCCCAAATCTCTTTATGCAGTCTCCTATTTACCTCCCTGAGGCCGTAATAAGGAAGAGGTGTTCGTGAGAGTTTTACAACGGGCGCTACCGGCAAGGCTGTGCAATGTTAAATGCTCTGTACATCATTTCACTATTCTCTTTGACATTTCTGAGAATAAGAATGAAGGGTAAATTTTAACTGGCTATAACGACGCGTCAAACATTTACACTAGACAATATTTTATTTCCTCACTTATTACATTAAAAGGCCGAAAAGGAATTCTATGCTACTAATATCAGGCAGCGGGGCTAGATTGAGTTGAGTGGTTGTTCGCTAAAAGGGTGCAGTCTGTGAGCTGGCCCTCATTACCAGCGCTTCAGCACGAGTGTTCCTTCGCCCGCAGGAAAATATGACGCCTTGAACAACGCCTGCCCGCGAGATGTCTGCAGAGGTCTATCACTGATAATAATTAGTGCCAGACCCCGTCAAACATCTCCCTAGCACGTCTCAAACGATCCCGCGGGCGGATAACCGTGCGTTCAGCAGCCCTGATAATGAGGGCGTACCGGCAGGCTAAGAGGCGTGTTTTAAGAGCCAGGGATTTTCAAAAGATTTCCTTTCTTTTCGTTAATAAACAAAACAAACAAAAGAGAGAAAGACAAGATCACTGAAGGAAAAATGGTCATCAAATTCGAGAGCAAATAGATTCCTTGTTGCATGGCTCATGCCGGGTAAAGGATATTTCTTTTAACATACTATTAAGTCAGAATTACCAGCACTCTGCAAATGTCTTGTCGGTGTTCACTGTGAAAGATGCAAGGGGATTCAAGCAGTGTGAACACAATACTACCTAAGATTTATATTTCCGCAAAAAAAAAAAAAAAGAACCAAACAAATACGCAAACAAATTTTAAAAATCTACACAAATTATACCGAAAAAAATTACAGTTACTCTAACCATTGCTGATTGATGTGCAATCTGAAAATCATTACATTAAGCGAACAATTTTAAGCTCCTGATTTCCAGGGAAATATTACTTCAGCTATTCGCATTAGAGTTTCCCTTGTCACACTTTTCAGCTTTTACCAAATCATACAGCGTTTACTGGCGACACATTTGTACAAAATATCTTAGTCCGGGTAATTAACACTAAGAGACCAAACTAAATAAAACTAGAGCAGAACTGCGCGCGGTTACAAGACTATTACATGCTACACTGAGAATTACCTCAGTTTGGAACACAAAGCGATGAGTTTAAAGTTCTATTCAGTGCATTCTTCACGCATTTCTTTCAATTTTTCAATTTTTTCTATTTTTATACTTCAATTTTTCTTGCTAGCGTCTTATTTTCGGGAGAGATTCACTCTGAATGCACTTCTCTGCACAACTTAGGCTTCCATCAAAACATGGATGTAGCCTGGTTACTCGGGTTCAGAGTCTGTTCCTTCTTCGTCAGCGGTTTCCAGCCAAGTCAGCCACGAGTTAACCTGAAATGAAAACACATTTTTGTCAGCCTGAACCAAACGCACCATGACAAGTAATTAACAGCACTGATCGTTACCTGAAAGAGAGCTTTTCCTTTGCCGGGATGCTTCTCACTCACATCTTCTTTCCACCTCAAAAACGCGTCCTCCTCCACAACTTCTGTATCGTACAACAACACAAACATGCGCAGCAACATACCTACAAAACAAGTATGGCTGTCGGTAAGAAAGGATATGTGCGCTTCAAATTCCTTGTCAAGTAACTGATACAGCCTCCGAGGTATTTCCAACCACGAACTTTCTTTCCGAAATTATTGCTATATCTCTTCGATTACAAATAGGGTTATGAAAATTTCACTGCATCGGAAATAGCTGATCAGTGAAAGCCACTCATACATTGCCGTGAAAATACCTAAAGGAACTCCAATTTTTACGAACCAAACACTGAAATCCTAGGCATTACCGACACATTCACCTCCGGACCAATCATGATAAATCTACAAAATCTACAGAATTCCAACCTTAGAATTGCCATGAATAAAGAAGGTAAGTTTCTAAAGAAACTGTGGTGCTGCGTCGGTGGGACAGTGCAACAGAGTAATTTAGTATTATCAACTGAGTTGATAAAAATTGGCCACCGCATAGAGTTTAGCTTTTAAACTCTTTAAGGTGGCCAATTTACGTTGTCAACTCAATTGATAATGCTAAAGTACCCTGATAGAATCTACTCCATCAAGTACTGTGATTGTGCTAAAAATTCTCGCTTCCTTCTCTGCCAATAAGATATTAACATAAAACCATTAAACCTTGAGTTTTTCATGGCTTCTAGTAAGATCTACCTCTACTCCAATAGACAGTCGTAAATACTTTGGTTTTGAATTCACTAGAGTATTCCAAAATTTTCTCTAATGGTAAGAGAGGTTTAAGACGTACAAAAGAGACACTCTAGCTTGGAAAATTTCATTATTGACCATACCTTTTGGAAAACTGTGGTTGTGACAAAATACTTGCAGTGCATACAATACGCTGACCTGGAAGAGAAAAAGATAGGAGACTTAAAAAAAAAGAAAAAAATAAACCCTAAAAATTCGTTTAATAAATGTACGTGCGGCAGACTAATTTGAATACAAATCGGTACAAAATTAAATTTTCTATGTTTTCGGATATATTTACAAGTGCATCTGGAACTGGTTCTGAAACACAGGAAGGCAAAAAATAATGAACCATAAAAGAAAGATCCATAAAATTCTCTTCTCTTGAGAGGAGCTCAAAGAATCCTAGGATAAAACGAAAAATGTATATTCATTTCCCCAAAATGATCTGGGTTGAAAGGTAGATATGGGGGAAATCAGTGAAAAGTTTGAAGAGATTGAACAAACAAGTTTTACAAACTCACTTGCAATTCGCTTTTCTCGTGAACAAACTTCTCCACCAAAGGAAGTAATTTCTTCATGGCCGCCTTCTCTTTCTCCATCCAGTCCTTTTCTGGGGCCTGTGTAGGGTCCAGGCCCTCACTTAGGGTACTGTCCTTGGTGGCGTATTTTAACAAGCTATGAACAGATTATACAGTTTAAATTGTATATCACATGAAAACAATTTATACATCACTCTTTTTACCATTAGTCCAGTACACTTGTAAGCACTAACGAAGCCAAATTTCAAAAAGTTTACAAAGAATCAGGGTTAGGCAAGACTATCATAAGGTTTTCATAAAACAAGAATTTGTCTTGAAAGGATTTTCACTCACCAAGTGGCAAGCACATTAATAAATTCCGGATTGGTGTGCCACGACGACTCGACGTTATCCTGCAAAAAAAGTTGCAGATTAAAAAGCAGATTCCCTCTATCATCTGAGCAAACATTTCTTCAGCCAGAAAGGATAATTTGTATGTTGGCTTCTCTTTTGTAAGTATACCTTGACCCATTTGTAGATAGCAGTGACAGTGGGATCTTCTTCGATTTTGGAATAAAGATCAGCTTGGATGTGAAGGAGAGGGAAAAGGAATACCAGACTCTGTGGAGAAAGAACAATCATCACTGATTTGCCAGATACCCATTAAATGCTGGTAAGCGCTAAAAGGGGATGGAAAGCTAAACTTGACTTGGATTTTTCCGTTTAACCCCCCCCCCCCTCCCCGAAGTGATTAACATGTGACTTCTCCCTTCAATATCCATACATTATCCAGCAAACAGGTAGTGAGAATACTCAAACTAATCAGGAAGGAGTTTTTGTCTAGATCTAACACCAAACACTCCTAACTAAGATACAAGGAAATTGAGTAGTAGCTAGAGAAGAACAATAACACTGAGATTTTGGAAATTTAAGGGTTTAAGATGAGGGTTTTGTCACATGTTGCCTAATGGAAGGCAAAACTGAAGCTAACAAATTATAAACAAACTGACAGACAATCAATAACTTAGAATAAAACATGAATGCTTGTTTATCAACCATAACTGGGCTTAATCTACCTAACACTGAGAAGAAAGAGCAGCAGGAAGGCAAGGAATTCATCCTAAATAAGTAACACAGGGATCCCAATCATGTTTAGGATCTGCTGGAGTCAGTAGGTAGGTTATTTGGTGCTCAATTGCTCATTCTCCCAACATAATTTTTACCACACCCCCATTCACAAACCTGTTTTTCCAGAATGGACATGAAATTCTCACTTGCTCTTTCTCCCTCTGCAAACAAAGAAAAATCCAAAAAGGTAGGTTATACAGCCATAATCTCCATATGTTCCATTTGGATCCACTGATAAAGTAACAAGAGTCTTTGGGCATGCAAAGTTTTTCTGAAGGTGGGGCTTCACCTCATTTTCCAAATGAAACAAAATTGACAGAAAATAGGACAAATGTTTTGACAGAGTCTTTAAACATCATTGATAAAAAATTGTTGTCAAGCCTTATGGATTAAACTGATAACTTCAGTCCATAACCAAGCCACTTGTTTCCTGGCTACATTCAATTCAAATAATAAATGTTATCTAAAAGGCAATAAAAATTTTCTGTTGTTGACAAACCTGGTAATGAAGGCAACAGACTTAATTGTCATTGTAACTTTTACCAGCCAAAATTCCTGAAGAATAATGTAAAGATTAACAGAATAAAGAAAGCAGAACAAACATGCAAAGGGAGAAGCACACAGAAATTGGCCAAAAAAATTTTCCTTTAGAAAGGATAGTTATAAATATACCACAACCCTTTCAAGGCCTCTAGTTCCTTTAGACA